CAAAAAATTATTAAATCCTCCTTGGAACATTGGTGAAGTAGAGGCCGGTTCAACTGGGTGTGTGTGGGGTGCTTAATACCTTCCCACACTGTACCTTGGTCCTGGATCCTAAGAATCTTATTCCCATTTTGCAATGAGTCATCAAGAAAATAAAATGTTTTTCTTGAAAAATCACGGATTTTCCTAAATTTCCAATTCGAAAAATTTAGATGGTAACTCCAAACTTCATACCCCAATTTGTCCCTCCCTCCAGGTCAGATAACCATAGGACTAATTTGAACAATTTACACTGCACCAAGCCTTGGTTTTTGGCTTGGTCTCATAACTCCCAACCTGAGTCTGCCCAAGTTGCATCCCTAACCAAAGATGTTCCAAGCCTTCTTGATGTGTATTAGATATGATTTACCTAACTGAGAGAGAGAGAGAGGGCGATATGGTAAAGAGGTGAATCTATTGGGTAAAGGGTTCTTGAGACAACTCATCTCATCCCTTTAAGACTTTATTTGGCATTTCTTATTTTAGAGACTTATCTCCTTAGTTAAAATGTCTCCATGAACATTGAGTTTTTAACTGCAAAAAGAGATTGAAATCTCTTGGCACAGTGACCGTTAAATACAAGTGAGCCTAGTACTGTTTGGTGCATTAAAATTAAGAAGTGTACTAATAAAATTGTTGAATTTGGAAGTGAAATTTGAGTTCACAGTCAAAAGAACATTTTTGTCAAAGGTGGATAACAAGGGAGGAGGTGTCATTTTAGAAAGCAATCATGGTTCATGTCCTCTCAATAAAAGGGATAAAAATATTGAGCCCCCATCAACCCTGTAAAACTTTGTCAATGCCAGATTCCTCTCTAAAAGTGGGACAAGGAGACTTTGATTACTGAGATGCGTGGTGCACTGATTTGTTGCTTTACCTTTCACTTTAACCTCTTCTTTAGACTCACTGTTTCTATTGATCTACAAGGAAGAGATTCCATAATTCCTGTAATATGATCATCACTTCATCTAGTGGAGGTTGGAGAAAATTATCTAGAAAATTATGGGTGACGAGATAGCTTGATTATATAAAATTGGTTCATATGGAGGAGTGGAAATGACATACATCGAATAGCTATACCAACAAGAATAAAATGAAACAGGGGTCTACAAATTGCTGTATCAACAACCAAGAGAAGGGTATATGATGAGAATACGCTTCAACACTGATGTCCACCATCATGTATATGGCATTATGAGACCTTTGCAGCTATGGCACTTGATAATCAGAATTTTGTGGCAGTATATTGACTAGGGGTGTCCATAAAAAATCGAAAAAATGAAAAATTGAATCGAATTGAAAAATGCGGTTAATCGAATCAATCGGTTTGAGATTTTTGAAAAACCAAAAGATCGGTTTGGTTTTCAGTTAACCTACAAAAAAACTGACGGTTAACTGAACTGATCGGTATATATATTTTTATGTATATTTTTAATGTCATATATTTTCTATGTATTATATATATATAAATATATACTTATATTATATTTATAATGACCTATTTATAAATATATTATATATTTTTCAAATATTTATAATATATTATATATCATTTATTATTTATTATATAATATTATATACATATTTGTATAATATATATTATAAATATAAAAAATTGAAGAACAGAAGAACCAAATTGGCGAACCGGTTAATCGGTGGTACCGATTCAGTTTTGGTTTGGAGAATTGGAAAAACCGGTACCACCGGTTTGGTTTACAAAAAAGTGCCATGGTTCGGTTAACCGAACAATGGAGACCCCTAATATTGACTAGGAAATCCACAATATTAAACTCAAGGTTCAAAGTATTGATATACACGATACACAAAAATTGTATTCATTGTATTATATATAAATATATATTCATTGTATATATAAATATATACTTATATCATATTTATAACGACCTAACTATAAATATATTATATAGAAAATATATATTTTCAAATATTTATAATATATTATATATTATTTATTATATAATATTATACATATATTTGTATAATATATATTATAAATATAAAAAACCAAAGAACTGAAACCAGTGSACTGGTTAACTGGTGGTACCGGTTCGATTTCAGTTTAGAGAATTGAAAAAATTAATACCACCAGTTTGGTTTACAAAAAAGTGCAATGATTTGATTAACCAAACCGTAGACACCCTATAAAAGAGTGCATTGTGAGATAAATTTCTTTTACATGTGTGGTCATACACATTACAAGTCCTCTTAGTGGAGGGGAAACATAGGTGCATAAAGCATGAAGTGGGTGGATAATTAATCAAACTAGTAAAGTGTAAGATAATATTGGAAAACATTAAAAAAGTGTAGAAAGTGAAAGTTAGCTGGTTTTGGAGAGACATATGAGAATAACGACATTGGGAAAGTGATAAAGAAGATTTGGTGAAATTGAAAAATGAAACTTTGTGTAACCTCATGCCTTTTGCCCATCAACTTATAATTCAATCCATGATGACCATGAATAAAATCATTCAAATCGAATAATGCTTTGGAACTCCAATTAGAGGTGTGGGTTCATCAAAAGATGGATTGGATTTGGATTTGACCTGTCTGACTCGAATCAATTTGAACCAGTTGGACAGTCCAATAAGACATTGAATTGGACCAATCCACATTTAATGGTCTAAAGTATTTATTGGATTGTATTGGACCTGGTCCATCTATAAGTGATTAGTATTGAATTGGGTTGTATTGAACCAATATCCAGTCCATTGACAGAAGATAAGACTTAAGAGATGGGGTGTCAATGGACTGGGTTTGGGTTGAACCCAATCTAAAGATAGATCAATTTGAACAGGTTAATTGGGTGGTCCAATAAGACATTATTGAATTGGATCAGTTCCATATTAGACCGAATTGGGTTGAATCTGGTCCATTGACGGCCCTAGCCACAGGTGAAAATGGAATACCTCTCCCCTAAATCGATTGTTTAGCAAAAGAGAACGATCAAGTGAATATTTGGTACCGTGGTGCTTTAAGTCATGACTTTGAACTTAATTATGACATTGGGAACCAAAAAAGTGAGATGTTTTGATACAAAATACACTGCATGATAGTTTATTATGGTTTTAAAACATGCAGGTGTCATTAGGCGACTGAAGTTGGAAGTTGGAACGCCCCCCAATTACAGATAATGAGATAAATATATTTTTAACATTTCTGCCGACACCCTTGTGCACATTACCAAATGCAAAATATGATATAAACTTGTTTCGCTCAAGTTAGATCTGCCCAACCAAATATATATTTGTTCTTTTTTTTTTTTTTGTGCACCAGATTCAAATAATCTATCTATATGGTGCTCATGTAGAGTCAAAATGGGAACGCAAACACCATGGTTGCAAAGAAATCTTCCACGTGGCAAATTGACTTTGGGATTAAAATGGTCCAATGCCTCTCACTATATGAAACCTCTATCTAAGCCCAAAAATGGCCATAGTCAAAATAAATCTTACTCTTGATGCAAATTTCATACTAAAATATTAAATTTTTTGATATATGGTCAATAATATTACTTGTCAACACTAACAAAAGTGGGGATATGGCTGATATGAACTGCTTGGATTGGCCACACCACCCCTCTACGTGGAAAAACATGGTGGACTATTTAGGGAAACTCCATACTTGACCCTACTGGTAAGCCTTTTTCTTCATATATGAATAGTGGAAGAAAGAATGCTAAATGATGGAAGAGAAAACTGTCCCTTCACTTACCAAGAAGCAATTCTCAACTTGAAAGCAAAAAGAAGAAAATAACTCCATTTAATTTATACTAAAAAATAAAAAAAGAATCAAGTGGTTGGCAGGTTGATATTCATGTAGGATATCTTTCCCTTTCATATAAACAGTGGAAACCCATGTAACAATTAGAGATAATGATTTTTTTTTCTTTTCTTCTTTTTTTTTATCAATAATCCCCCAACCCTTGAAGGTGGGGTTTGATCCCAAGTTCCCTCTATAATCAGCCATAGATCATTACCAACTTAGCCAATTGGCAATCTCAGGAATAATGACTGTTAAAGCTAAACAGAATATACACTTTTCCAGGCATCTATGTCCCTGTGTATGAAGGGGAGCAGTTAAGACTCATTCAATGGTCAATCCTTTGTAGATGAGACATGTGAAAAGTTGAAGAGCCCATCCCATAAATCTTGTGAATCAGGATCCCAGTTGCAACACTATTAGAACTTCTATCTGAAAATATCTGTCCCTGAAGCTCTCAACACTCATCTACTTGCATCATACTATCAGCCATATTATTGCCAAAGGTGGCATAAATGTATAATTCCATTTTGTATGCTAATTTACAACCTTCTCTGTCCATCAAAACAGAATCTTTCATTTGCAATTATAATAAGTAAGCATTTAAGTTTCATTTGCCTTGTGTTATGACACCAACAATTTATTGTGTTCACACACACAACAACTGTATTGAAGGAAAAAAAAACAGCTAGATTGGTTTTTATGCTGATTAGGCCCATTTAGATAAAATAGTTGATCTAAAAGGAGACTAGTATAGTATGGTTTGGAATCTAACTAATTCTTTAATCCCCATCAGTTCTGTGCCACGTGGCAAGTTTTTCTTAAATAATAAAAAATATATTTGAGTTATATTTTATATATACATATATTATTGCGTATTTAGGAGGCTCGCTGTTCATTTGACCAAACTGTTTTGACGTAGTGGTTGTTTTTAATTTCGAATTGTTTGTCGTATTTAACTATTTATGATGTACATGTATTTGGGTAGCTCTGGTTCCACTTCCACAATCCACCACGTTGGAATATAATAGTCTGGTGGGTGTGAGTTTGAAAGATGAAAGCACATTCGTACATGTGTCAGCGTAACATTTGCACAGGTGTTGGGCCACTGTTTGATGAGACTGTTGTTTTCTTGAAATTGAAGGTTTTTGGGAATTGGGCTTCGTTTTGTTTGGTTTCTACTTGTTATTTCTTTCTCCTTGTTGTCTTATTTATTTTCCTCTCTCCTTGTGTTTGATTTGTCATTCTACGTTTGATTGAAGAAGAGAATTTAAAGCAGAGGATCTTGGAGGGAGGGAATTCATTTCAGAAAAAAGGGGTAGTGGTAATAGTTTTTATCTGTTTACTTTGTGTGTGTGTATGTGTATGAAGAGAGAGAGAGAGAGATTTCTTTGCGTTTTGTTTCGTCACCATCGTGGGATGCACGTGGAAGGTAAATTCTTATCTTGCTCTTGTAAGTTTATTTTAATCATTAAATGGATTAGAGCATTGTACTATATTTGTAGATGTCCATCTTCCATTTTCGCCAGTTTCGACTTTCTCTGCCACCAGTTTCAGTTCTTGTAAGCATTTTCCCTCTTTATTTTCTTTATTTTCCCGTTTTCTTCGCTGGAGGGTTCCTAGATTTCAAGAGACTTTAAAGGGTCTTTTTGTGTTCTTATTTGCTTCTCTGCAATAGCTTGTCTTGAGATTATTTGATGTCTGGGTTTTTCTTTATGGATAGTAAAATCTGTTCTCATGACAGATACGAAGTTGATTGGCCGACTTTCTCGGCCATGTTTTTCAAGGATCATTATTTTATTATTACAGCGTTGCAGTGAGACATTTATTTTTTATATGTTTATAGACTTTTTTTTTTTCTTTTTGTAATTCCATTACTTGATTCTTAAATTGCAGGAAATCGATTTCTCTTTCCCTTTCTTTCATGTTATTTTCATGTTGTTGAGTATCTGTATGCTCTGATGATCTAGATTGTTCAAATTCTTGGTATAGGCAATATCAATGTTCTCAATTGGCAGAATGGACTTTCTCCTTTTTGTCTTCCTCTTGGTTAATTTTATGATTCTAATATATTCAGATAATTCTCATTTGTGTATTACAAATCTAGCCATGGTTTTCGGGTCTTTGGCTTTCCAGGTTTTCTTAACAATTTTTTATTTCCAGAGTCCAATTGCTTCAAGATGAGTTTGATATCTTTTTCTTTTAGGATTTTTTTCTCGTGCTTAAACTGACCACTTTGCATTTTTTGGTATTCAATCTGTAGTATAACTTTGTTAATGGAATTTTGTTTTTCTTAATTTCCCCAGCTGCAGTTTCATCTTTCAAATTGTAGTCTTTCTGAGAAGAATGGCACTTTCTGGTGGTCCTAAAGATGGAGCAGAGCTGAGAATTCACGACAGTGTTGATGAGCTTGCCACTGATTTGGCAGACTACATTGCTGAGTTGTCAGAGGTTTCAGTAAAAGAAAGGGGATTCTTTGCCATTGCCATATCTGGCGGTTCTCTCATTAGCTTGATGGGGTATGAGTTTTCCTCCTTTGTATTCTGTTATTCCTTAATTAGTTTGGTTAGTGTGATTTTGGGGGGCTAAAATTTCTTGTTGGGGGCAGAAAGATATGTGAAGCTCCATATAACAAGACTGTGGATTGGGCCAAATGGTACATATTTTGGGTTGATGAGCGTGTTGTGGCAAAGAACCATGCGGATAGTAACTATAAACTAGCGAAGGATGGGCTTTTGTCCAAGGTAAGCAATCTGTGTTCATTTATCCTCTTCCATTTTTCCCTTTTCAAAGAAAAGGAAGCTAAAGACCTTGGTTAGCTTCCTGCATATTTTGGCCTTATAAATTGAATAATAAGATTTTGAATGCCTCTCTGTCCCAACTCCTAAGTCCATTATTATTGTTATGCTAATACCAGATCTCCAGTCCCTTGAAGCTTTGAATTCAATCTTCACTTGGTTTTGCAACATAGTTTTTGTGTTATGAAAAGAGTAAAAGTCTGTAATTTTGACTGACCAAGTACAATAAAATTGCTTTCTATTTCAAATTGATCCCTGATGGGATGTTACTTATCTACTGGGAGTATTCTACTAAATAATTTTCATCTGTTCTTTGAAATATGATCATATGGTATGTTTATAGTGAATCCACTTTCTCTTCTAATTATTTAGTTTTTCCTGCATTGAATTCATGAAAAAAAGCATGGAAAATGGAAAAATTCTAAGGATATTTCTCCATAAAATGAGGATGGACAGGCTCATGATTAAAAATATACAACATGCAGTGAGATGGAATTTGATCAAGTAATAGGTTCCTGATGTCTAGAAACACAATCACTCTGGTATGAAGTGGAACATTCTGTAGAAAAAAATGAGAATTATGAGGGAACCTCATGTTTCTTGTCCCATCCCTTTGAAGGCATAGTCAAATTATGACTTTACTAAGGTGTTCTGTTGGTAGGCCTCTGTTATTGATTCTCATCTGCAGCTTGTAAGAATATTTTATTATTCATCCTAACATATGTTAACATACAGTCAGCACAAAGCCTCATAGTAGTGTAGCATGCATTTATGTTTATGTTTCACAACCACATTTATCCAAAAGATGGCCATTTTGGTTTACAACTTGGAGGTAGTTACCAATGACTCCATTAAGGGAGCTTAACTGGGGATAAAAACCTCCTAAACAGAATTTGTCTCAGTGAGGTGTATAGTACAATGCAAAAATAATGGGCATTCCTGGCCTTGCCTGATGAAAACATGAAAGTTCTGTGGATGTCTACTGTTGTTAGGTGATTCATTGAAATACCTTCTGGATTTTTGGTAACATTAACAAAATGGTGCAAGCTTATCTGTACCATTTTACTATGCCAAAATGCTTAAGAATCACGTAGTTTTACAAAGCTAAGAATCAGGATCAGAAAGATACTAGCTTATCTGTACTGGCATCCTGGAATTTGGGAATGCTAATCTCTGTCCCTATCCATTTCAGAGTGTTTTGGCAGGTATAGCTGATTAAGGAACTTAACATTTTCTTGATGGAAGCTTTGACATTTATTAACGCATGCTTTGGTAGAGTGCTACTGTTTCTTATGCCTTTAAATCCTTACTCTCAGAAGTTAGAACATTTTCTTCAAAATTTTAGTCAATTTTTAATTCTTAATATTTGAGTATCTCCTCTAATAGGCAAGATCTTTTCTGCAAAAACAGATGTTTACATTTAGTGAGTGCCTTAGACATGCATCCTAACCTAATTATGTAGATACTAGATACATTACTTCTTGCTAATTATATTATAGTTTTCTGTATCAAAGCAGTCTCAAGTCCATATCACTTCTCATTTTATTTCATTCTTCCTCACACAAGCAAATGGGAAGTATTTCTGGAATACTTCATCCGAAGTTTTGTTCCCAAAGAAAAAATTATCCAATTTTTAATTTGATTTAACAGCAGTATATACAATAATTGCAAAAAAAAAAGAGCCATTCTTCCTATTCTTCAGATTCTTCTATGAGGTTGGTGTGATAAGGGCCTAGGAGGATGGGGGGACCATGGTGCCTAATCTCATTGCTTGTCAGATAGGATAAGGACAAAATAAGGCAAGGCTAATATTTTAGAGATGATGTAATGTTGCATATGGTGCTATAATTTTGTTTGTCTATCTGGGTTGTGTCTTGTGTGCATTAAGAACTTCTGAGATCTTGTAAGGATAATAGCATTGTATTATAGGAAAAACCTTTCAGATTTTGGTTGAGAAAGCAAGAGTTATAATTTAGATATTACTGAAATGCTCTATGTAGAGTCTATGCCAGCTTTGGGCATAGTTTCTTGTTCTAAATATGGTTGTTTAGAATATCATGCTCTTAACTATTAATTTTCATCTTCTCTATTTTTTCTTTTATATTTTAGTTGGATATATTTCTATTGAGTTGCACCTTCCATGTCCCAACCCACATTTGTGGAGAAAAACCCAAAGGCAAATTTTCATAGTGGTTTGTGGTGGAAGTGGAGAGATTGGGCTGCTAGGCCCAATGGGGTGTAGGGACGGAGCCCCCGTGGCAATATGGACTGGATCCATTATCAACTTATGGCTATGGGTCGGACCTGAGTATTTTATGTTAACTTGTTGGGGCTTTTCTCTTTTATGTAATCTTTGGCTTGCGCAAGAAGCTGTTGAGCAAGAGTCTTGATTGCTGCTTTCTATAGTGAATTTCTGCTCCTCCTTTGCCTGTGGATGCAGGATATAAGCTGAACCACATAAATATCTGTATGTATACTTTTGTTCCTCTATTTTGCATTTTCTTCTTCTTTTTCTCTATTCTTGACAATTGTTTGTGGTCTTTGTTTTTTGTTCTACCACAAAAATTACTTTGATTTTAAGATATATGTACAATTAATAAAAACCATCACCAAATTGAGCTTCCCTAGATGACCCAAAAATCTTCCACATTGGAACATTAAAAACATATTTTGGGGCCTAAAAGGACCCCATGAGTTCCTCTCTCCAGTCTCCATCCTTTGTTGGGGTAAATTTCAGACCCAAAAATTTTGCTTTATATTTAGAATAAGTTGTTCTTTATGGGAGATTTCCAAAATAAAAAACAAAGTTTTAAAGGCCAACAGAATTTGGGAAAAACTTATAATACAAAGTGGGGTGTAGTTTGGACTTGAAAGCAACCAGATGCCAGATCTAGAGTGTATTCTTATCACATTAATGTTCTAGATTGGCCACAGGATTCCTTCACGTGGCAGAGTAGGTGAACTAATCCAATAAAATGGTTGAGGTTCCCCAATTGATCTGAGTAATATTGTTGTAGATGAAAACAGGTTACTTACTACAAATGTTTCTAATATTTCTAAAGGGGTGGACACCCCATTAGATTACATTTTTATCCATGTGTCATCCACATAATAATAAATTTGGGAATCCGAGTGCCAAAATTTTAACATGAAGGACCTGAAGGTCTGACTTACCTGCTATGAGGAATATTAAGTTACATAATAGAAAGCTTTCGCAAATTTAATTTTATGTTCATTCCAAATCTACTACTAAGAAGTTAAAATCTGACAGCTTTTTTTGTTTTCTTGATAAATAACGAAATAAATTCAACTTTCACTATCATCATGCATCACTCTGTAAAGAATATTTTGGTTATGCCTTTCTATTCATTATTGAAGTAATCCTTGACTCCTTGTATATGTAAAATTGACAGGTTCCTGTTGTTCCTGGCCATGTTTACTCTATCAATGATTCCATGTCAGCAGAGGAGGCTGCTAATGAGTATGAGTTTGTCCTCCGGCAGCTGGTTAAGACCCGCACGGTCGGTGTGTCCGAGAGCAGTGACTGTCCGAAGTTTGATCTAATCCTCCTTGGTATGGGCCCAGACGGGCACATAGCCTCACTCTTCCCAAACCACACAGCGCTTGATGAGAAAGATGAATGGGTGACTTTTATCACTGATTCCCCCAAGCCCCCACCTGAAAGGATTACCTTTACTTTGCCAGTTATCAATTCGGCATCCAATGTGGCTGTGGTGGTGACAGGTGGAAACAAAGCAGATGCTGTACATTTGGCTATAGATGATGTGGGACCTGACCATCCACTGCTGCCTGCCCGGATGGTATGCCCAACTAATGGGAAGTTAGTGTGGTTCTTAGACAGGCCAGCTGCCTCCAAACTTGAGGCTTCTGAGTTTGCAGAGTAGAGGTCGACTTTGCTTTTTGTTTAGTTTATGTGTGTATGTTGCAGAGGAATTTGACAGTAGTTGCCTTTTTCTTCTCTATTTCTCCTCCCTGCTTTCCTTTGCCTTTCGTCTTTGAGGGTGGGGGAAGTGTGATTGTCTTTTCTGTACTTAGAGGTTAATAAGTGGGTTTCAGAACGGAGGTCCTCTGTGGTTGTGGGTCATTTTCAGAAAGGAAGTGATGATAGAAGTTCAGTCTTGTAGGGAACCCTGTTGGTTGAGGAGGGAGAATTTAGTTCTTTGTGCATATTTAGTGGAAATCAGTTCTCGTGAAATTAATACTAAATTTTTCCTTGTTGATGCATTATTTACTTCCACTGGATAACCATTATAATTTTCTCAAACTAAAAGTTAAGGGAATATGTGATGGACAGTCTAAAGAACGTTTTCAAATTTCAATCTTTCACACTTGTCGCCCTTTTCTTAATGTGATTTTTGCTGGAGCACTGTAAATTAAGATGTGGGTTCCACAACCTTCCATGTTTCTGTCACATGAACAACTCTTGTAGCCTACCTSCATTGCTTTTTTCAGCAATAAATTAAAAGGGGAACCAGACAAGACAAGCAGGAGGGACTGGTTGAAACTTGAAACAAGACATCCAACTAAAGAGAAATGGCCTTTATGATGTTCGTTTCTCTTTGATGTCATTACTCGTCTCACCAGGATAAGCCGGATAAGCTTAGCTGTGCTGTTCGACCCCCTACTGGCCTGGTCTATTTTCCGTAATCTTCATGTTGCTCGATAGTCAATTATTCTCCAATTGCCTAATACTGACAAACGTCTGTAACTGAAATTGCCCACTCTTTTCGACCATTGATGTAGACTCAGAAAAGATGGCTTCTCTCCTTTGCTTTAATATTCTAAAACGCTAATGATACAAAGAAGAAATGGTTTGTCTACCTACTCTTTTGATTGGCATTTTTAATTGCTGTATAAACTTGGTGTCCTGTGCTTGAATCCAGAAGCATTTTCTGTCAAGTTTAACTCTGATGGGAAAAGACTGAGTGAATATGTAATACTAATGACACAATGCCTTGGGAGTTTTCATTTAAGCTAAAAAGTGGAAGGGTTACATGCTGGCTCCAATTTTATGAGCCTCTGAAATTTCACATCGATTTATCTTTTTTTAGATCATTAAAAGGTTATCCATTAATTATCAAAAAGATTACAAACATGAGGTTCCAGCCAATCAGGTGGAGTACTACCTCTATAAAACATCCAAAGATTTTGCCTTCTGAGCAATTATATAAGCAGCCTTGGTACAGGTTCTGCATTTATATACAAAATTCACAAAAGACATACTTTTGACCATGGACAAAATTCTCAGTCCATTTACCAAAAAACCCAAGATATTGAAGATTCTTTTCCCTCCAGAGCATCCACCACAAGCTAAGCATCCGAAAAAACCATTAAATGATTCCACCTTTGATCTTTTGTAAAAGAAAGTGCTTCGAAAACAGATCTCAATTCCACTTCAACTGGATCCTGAATAAAACCTAACCAACACCTGCAACCATGAACAATTTATTTGAGTTGTCATAAACACAAAAATCATGAGTACCTGTTCTATCAGTTGTTACACCACCATCACATTGACAAGGATGTGATTTGGAGCTGTCTTCTAAGATTGTTAATAGTGCTCCAGTATATTCAATTCAGTTATGAATGCTATATTTTTCACATCAATTTATCTGAATTGTAAAACTGGGCTACTTGTACTTGATAAAAATGCATCTAAAATACCCTGATGATACATGGGAGAAACAATTTAAAGACATTCTGAGTCATTTGATCGATCATTTGCCTGTTTCATGATTCAAAACATGTTCGTGTACTTTGGTATCATACAATGGACCCTAAACGCAACAATTTTAAGGAACAAAATCCAGGTCTAGGTCTATAAAAGTGAACATGAGAAGTGACACAGTGGAGTAAACGCCTGAATCAACTTCCAGGTTCCATTGTGTGGTATTCCATTTCTAAAATTGAAATAAAATATTAAGATTTTCATTGCTTCTTTCTGGTTTGTAATTTTGCAATGGAAGGTTTATATCAATGAAGATGATCCCTCCTGACTTCTAGTATTAATGGCCTGCAGAGTTGTTGAGTACATGGTCTTATTTCAGAAAGGAAAGAGTTCAAGTAAAGCATCTTTTGCTTGCATTCCAGAAGTTGTTAATTAGTGACTAATTAGTGTATGATATAATCTGGAAACTACCCCAAATTGAAAAAAAATGACGCCATGTTTTATCTATAAAAAGAAACGAAATAAATATATAATCCAAAAGGTGGAAGTTAGAGGTATTATTGGGATTTGGGACAAAGAAAGGATAGCCCATCCAAAACAGAGTGTACATGTAGCATGCCAGAATGAAAGTTGTAAGCTTTAAGGCATTTCTGTGCAAGATTAATCCAACTTGGATATTTATTTAACCATTATTGGGTTGTATTGTATTTGGAAATGTGGACTGTTTATTGATCAGATTGAATAATGGATATTGCTTGATCTGATCTGCTAGGATCCAATTCATTCATAATTTTTTTTTTCTATTTACAATATATAGTTTATGAATTTATATTTAATTTTTAGATTTAGATTAGTTCTGTACATGCTTATTGAATATAAAATTGAATTGGGTTTGAATCAGATATCTAGACACATAAATTAATTGAATTTGAACCTATGTTTCACATATCTATCATAAACCAAGTCGAATTTGGATCTCCCAGATTCTCATTAGATTGGGTTTAGAGAGACTTAACTACAACCAAAATTTACTAAACCAAACTTTTATTCATATCTCCATGAATAGGCTCCAATTTGGACTAGGAAATTGATCATGAAAACTCCTAGTTGCTTTAGAACTAAGACAAATCAATCGATCCATAAGGACACTTAAATATGGAATCTAACTTATAACCAACTCTAACTACCAACTACTAATCTAACTAAAACTAAATAAGCCAAAGGTAACTCCAAGACTGTCTTAAAAGCGCAAGGCGCAAAAAAAGGCACCCAACTTTTTTAAGGCGCAAAAATTAAAAAAAAAGCTAAAAAAATAACAATATATTAATAAAAATATAAACTTAAATTTTAAATTAAGTTTTCAAAAAGTAAAAAGACTATTATCTAAAATTAAAATACATAAACATAATATGTAAATGAGAATTAAAAAATAAATTCAAACATATAAAACATTTTCAAGCATGTAAAACCCACAATCTCTTTTTTTCCTCAATTGCATTACTGCAAGTAGCTAATGTGATGTAAAGCATATTACATTCCTGATTCTCCAAGCCGCATTTGTGCCATGCCCCTCGAGGTAAGCCCCAGATAAGTCCATGTTCTCACACAAAAAATAATGATTTTATAATTTTAATTATTTTTTAAGAAGATATTTTATTAGGATGAATGAGTGAACAACATTAACAAATAAGGGGCTCTCAAAGCCTAACATGGACTTGTTTGAGCTTGCCTCGAGGGACGTGGCACAAGGGTCCAGGGGGCTCTGCCCCCGGCCTAGCTGCTAGATTCAAAAAAAGCAAAAAAAACGTCAAATTTTCAAAAAACGCACGCCTGAACTGAGGCACAAGAGCATTAGCTGCACCAGGTGGGCACCTTTTGAAAGGAATGCGTCTTGCGCCTCAGTCATGGCACCTTTGTTCCATGCCTGCATCAATGATCCTCTAGGTGCTCTTAAAAATTTTGTCAGAGTCTATCTCATGGTCTATTAATTTGTTGGATGGTCTTCCAGAAGGTACAAATGCATGTTGAACGGCTCCAAAGCAACAAAACGAAGGGGGCCAACCATATGTTAAGCTGATATCATCCTCAACCTCTTTTCAAAATTCCATGACACCCTCAATATCATCCTCAGCAATTTCTGCAAAAGTTGGTTCGTTATGATAACCGAGTTTTGCTTAACTGTCTTGACCCTCCAAATCATTGACCTTCATATCCTTCCTCGAGCTACTTGCTTTATTGTCAATGTTCATTCCCTCTGAGTTTGTAGCCACAGAAGTAGCTGGATTCCAATGGGTAGCAACTAATGATTGACATGTTTTAAGTAAGAATAGCTACTTAGAGAAAGAGACAAAACAAAAGAAGGATTTATAGAGAAAAAAAGAAATAGGATTTCCTTTTCTTCTGTTTCTTCTTGGGTTATTGGAATGTTCACTAGGTATAGCCGTATAGGTGTGGTGRACCTTTCCTCCTCTTAACTCCTTTGGTACCTATGATGTTGTCTCTTTCAACTTGATCTGGGATGATTTAGGAGATGGAAAAATGGTGCTTTCCTCTGTAATATTACTAGCCGACTGATATGGTTCTCCTCTGTTACAACTTTCCAAGTTTTCAACCCTACTCAAGGAGGAATAGAATGTTGGGGAATGGCTAATGCATAGAAGAATAATAAAAGAACTTCAGGGATTTTATATTTTCAATTATTAAGGTCATTGAAGTCTTTGCTGTGGCTTAAGATATGGATGCATTAATATATAGAAGGAAAAAAAAACGAAAAGAACAAAAACAAAGTAAATAACAAAAAGAATTTAAGGGCAATATGTACAGCCCTAGAATCTTGCCATTGTGGCAACACAGTCCCCCTGTAAAACATTTACAGATATAGGTAAGGTACTTGTTTACTATTTAAAGACTGAAGTCCTATAAAACATTTACAGATATCTCTTTGAAGGCCAACTCTGTAAATCAACACTTTTACGTTTTATCTTTTTGAAAGTCAATCCCTTGCAATCTTTTCATTCACACTCAAAGTATCAAGTGATTTATCAAGCTCTTAATGTCAAAACATTTGGTCTTCATTAGATTAGCATTCATTAATCTTTGAAAGCAGTATTCCATACTTGTAAGGCCGTTCCTTCTAACTTCTAAGTTTAAAGCATTATACTATTCCGTTGTATGTTAAGGTACTTAAAACTATCACTAGTGATTGTTCAATTGCAAAGATGAGCAAGTATGACAAATGTACCAAGTTCAAGATCTCAATTACTTAGTCCATAATAATGTAGCCATTTGTTTCCCATAAATTGTTGGGGAAGTTTAAGAAGATAGAAATTATTATTATTTTTTTTTTATCAATAACACTTTCATTAAATCATCAGTAGAGAATTTAAGAAGATAGAAATTATTCTTTTCCCTTCAAAATAATATGAGCACTAAAATCGTAACCAACACAGTTGCACTTTTACCATGATTACCTGCAATTGCGACACTGGAGTTCTAGTGATCTATGATATCTGGAATTCTGGATACATCTAAATGCCTAGCATATTGGTGCTATATGATA